AAGAAAGAAAGAAATCGCCGACTTTAAACCCCAACACTTATTCTAGTTTCTTATTTAGTATTACCTTAGTTATCGTTCCCTCGAAGCAAACTTGTAAACAAGTGTTTGTTCGATCTGAGTTCAGGCTACAATCTATCCGAAGTCGAAATATTTATAAATCTTGCAATAAACGACGCTGTCGTCAGTAGTGACAACTGTTATTAGTCAGACGAGGATATTTACCGGGATTCCATCGTCATCCCAAACTCCCAATCTTTCAAGCTAAATGCTTTGACATACGTATTTTTTCAATATTCAAGCAATCTACTCAACATTTTTAATCATACTTTGCCGACGATCCGGAAGTGTTACCGTACACAATGACAATGGAATAGAATGGAGAAGAAAATATGTGGCAAGACAACGCGCTTATGAATAATCTTCGATACTTGTCTTCGTCCTCGTAAAAAATGAATTTTTGTCTTTAAGTTGTTTTTCAGCAAAAATAGAGCAAACGAAAGAAACGTATAAATAATAGTATAAATAAAAGGAACAGATGAAAATAGTATAGGGGATGGCCAAAGTAGATTTGTAAAGATTTGGCTTTGTGGCGAGGGTGAGTACATCTCTCGTCGTAACGGTCCGCTTTGAGAGCACGCAAGAATAATTTCTCTACGTAGCTAGCTTGAGTACAAATGGTTTAAAAGAATTGACAACGAGCAAACGCAGCTTTCAAGAGGAGCAATTAAAATAAACTGCGGATAAAGCCACGAAAGAGGCCGAAATATAAAGTAGTAACAGCGAATAACGGAAAAAAGACGAGTATAACAACTGCACGAGCTCGATTCCCTGCAGGTCGCTGCTATTGTTGATTCGCAGTCTCTCACGGTGGCGCAGATCCTGTACGTCAAGAGTATGTATGAGCGCGCGCGAGCCAATGAAAAAAGAAGGGGGCAAAGACTGCCGAAGAAGAAGGCAGGGAGGCAGGCAGACGCTGAATTAGTAGGCTGCCGCTGGGAAGCTTCGGCATAATTTTGCGGCGTATCGCCTAATAACAGGGTCACTCCAACTGCGGGAGTCCAATAGGGCGATCGGTGGCAATCGGCAGACACGGGAGAGAAAGAGAAATTCGGAGCAGCGCTGAAATTCCTGCGCTCTGTGCAGCCTTTCCGAACAGCTCTCCGCTGTTTGTTAGGACAGAAAAATAAATAAGATTTCATCGGAGCGAAAAGGTACCGGCGCGATGGCGTAAAATGACGCGAGCCCAATAAATAAAGAGTAGTCGCTAGGGCGTACGGACGAGCGACACAGGAAGAGAGAACGAAGTGTACGATTAGGTGATCGTGGCATGTTCCGCGGCACGTCGGGGGGAGCGTTGTTCGTTTGAATTGCGACCGGACGACCGCCTATATCGACATATGACGAAGCTCGGGCGCGGATACCAGCATTTCTCGTTCGCTCGGTCTAAGCGTTGCGCGCGATCTGTATGTATGTATGCACTCGGTAAGTACGTCTGACGCGCTCTTAAGGTTCCAGTGCGGCCCTCGAGTCCACGAGGTTGAGTGCTTCTTGCAGGCAGCCGGTGCGCGGGATGCAGTTTGCAACGGAGACTACTTCGGTCTGGCGTCGCCGAAAGCCGAAAATCTCTGGTAATAGTTGACGAGAGCAGCTCGACAATTATCCTGCACAACTCGGCCCGCCGCGAGCTGCTGCTGTAACCTTCGAACGAATGCTCGCAGCGTTCGAGGGTGAAAAAAACAAAAAGGAATAAAATAAAATAAAAAAGTAAGCACTCAAGGGGATTCTTGAGAGAAGAACGAAGGCTTGATTTTTAAAGCAACTTATATTGCGAGCGCGCCGCAGCTTCGAGCTTTACGGCTTTTTAATAACGATTCGTCTTCTATACGCGTCGTCTGCGCTTTATTTTTGCCAACTATCGCCTTGAGTCTAGCCAGCTCTTACCATTATTACCATCAGGTCTATCAATACTTCGCGGAAACATCAATTTTACCGTCAGCTCTTTACTTTTCTTTTTTGCTGATTTTCCATCGACGATCCGGTGTTTCATCGAAAACAAACGGCAAAAACTCGTCTCATTACATTGAATATCGATAAATATACGCTCGCTGTGACCAACAACAATTTTACGAAATGATTTAATGTAACGAGTATTGGGTTCTACAACTGCGTATTTGGAGCTTTCAAAGCTTTTCATATCTCGATATTGACCATAGTACGGTAACAGACGAGATCACGTTGCAATAACGTATAAGCGCAGACATCCGAGTAATCGAGCGCCGCGTTGCACCTGAGGCATTGGAATATCGAACGCCATTTGCACTTGTCTGACCCTTTCTCACTAATTTTCGACTACTTTTGATCTCCATTTGGTTTTTCAAGTACAGCCACCTTCTCATTCACCGGTAGGCCATTCTAGCAAAGTAATAATCTATATTACGGTGCTTTCTAAATGAACCCCTTGAATTTTAGTAGAGTATTGTATCTCATTGATTTTGCACGCGAAGAAACTATATCAATTCTATGGCTGGAAAGACGACGGGCTATTTGTCATATAGCGAGTATTTACCTAACGAAAATTGATAGGTAGATGGAGGGAATGGTAATTGAAGCGTTGGGCACGTGCACTCGTCATGCGGCAGTGATTGAACGAAAGTTAAAAATTCAACATGGACAGAGACTAATTGCTTTGCAACAAACTATCCGATTCATTATTGCTTGAAAGAAAGAAGCGAACGATTTAGCCTAGCTTAATGGTTAGTCACTGTAATATTTATAGATCTGTATATGAGTATGTGCGTATCCCTGCAATATTTCTTACGGTCTCTGTGTATTTTCAAATTAATAGTAATAATAGTAATGCTAGTCCTTCGTAATATTTCGTCAAATCTATTTGTGAAAAATTATGTACTTCTAAAGCTACAATATTTTATGATCTTGACTACATTAGATGTTAACAATTTTTATTTCAATTGAATATTTTTCAAAACCAAGAAATTTACTTAAGAGTTACTTTGTGATCTAAGAGTACAAGGATATCAACTTTTTGTTCTAAATGTCCAATATTCAAGAATTCAAAAGTTAGCAGTGTTCTCACATATTACGTGATCAACACTTAGATACAAAAGTTGGGTGCACCCGTGAACTTGCACGCCACATTCGATTTACCAAGGATTAACCGATTATCAATAACTGTCGCGTATCGCTGCACCAGTATGACTTACGTATAGTATTACTCAACTGTGGTCTCACAATCAGTTACAGCTAATGTGAACTCGGTGACATTTTTTCTCGCTTTTATTTAATCTGCCACTAATCTTAATAATCTCGATCTGAGTCTCTCAGGATCATTATTTATGCTTCTTTGGATGTAGTCTCGTGTAAACACTTCATATATATATATATATATATATATATATATATATATATATATATATATATATATATATATATATATATATATATATAATTATTTCTGTATCTAATTGTGTGCAAACATATTATCGTTATTGATGCATTAGGCATTGTGAAAAGTTCAAATACGAAATGCTGTCGTGGCGTGTATATGTGAGTTGGAAATCGTTGTTTCTGAAATTATTATATATGTTAGAATTATTTCTAGAATTGGTTCATATTTCTTTAAACTATTGTAAATTGGTGTTGGTAGGGCAGAAAATAAATCTATTGCTCAGTAGTTGAGAAGAACACATTTTTTTACAGCCAACTATTCAAATAGTTTCTTTCGCTAGAATTTCTTCACTCTAGCCATTCTATTTACGAAATTAATTTTAGTTTTTTGAAACCATTGAAAATTGGTATAAATGGAAAGGAAAATATATTGGTATACGTTTGAATAAGCAGAAAATGTTTAGAAGCCGCTTATGAAAGAAGTGTTTTTCGCAGGAAATAACACTTTTTCTGCGTTTTACTCGCTGCCAATCATTTTATTTACGGAATGGAATTGAATTTTTTTTCTCAACTATTGCCAATAGGCACGGATAAAATACAAAATATATTTTATATTGATTGGTTGGATGGAAAAGTTTTTTTATTTGTTCATTCAACATGTATTTTTTTCAAGAAAAACATGCAAAACTGCGTTGTTTTCGTTGTATTTTCTTGGCTGTAGTTTTAATTACGGAATAGATTCAACTTTTTAAGATATATATAGAAAAATGAGGGAGAATGAATTTTGTAATATTTCGTTGAATAATTCGAGTGGCAATATAAAATTAAAATTATTATTTGGTTTTTACATCAACCGATGGGCAGCTACCTATTAAGCTATATCCCTTAAGCTACATCACCAGCTATTGCGGTGCTACATCTTGTCGTCGTTAATTATCGGCTATGAAATTTGATGTTTGAGCGCAATAAAATGTATATGATATGTGTTATACTAGAAATAAATGTGTATTAATATGCAACGAGCGGGCTACAAAGTTAACTAAATTTTTGTAAAGAAATGAAATGACGTTGAAAAGGGAAGAAAACAAGTAGTTTTTGTCTCTCTAGAAAGAAGCATTTCGCCAAGACAGTTGGTACCGTTCCGTCTGTTTCAATCGCGTTATTTGTGTAAGCAGTTTGTCATTTTATTGAAAATCGAATGAAAAATGAATACGAAAGAAACGGTCTGCAACGGTGTCTAGCAATACTTTAGCCAAAGTATGTGCACACGTAATTAACTTTATGATTGATGAGCAAGCCTATGAGAATATCTGCGCTATATACGATCGCGATCGCTAATACCGTGCGCAGCAATGTATCCATCCAGCAGCGACTCAATCAATCATTATAAATAAATATTATTCGGCACGCATACACACTGCAATTTAACGGTGGATAGCCGGGTTTCCATTATATCACAACGCATATAGAACGTATGCTGTTCCGTCCGAGATCAACAAAGACGAGATACCGAATGGGTAAATGAAATGTTGCTTGTAGTCACTGTCAACATTAACTTTTGCGATTCCAGTATAGGAAGTCGAAATGATACTCACGAGAACATCTTGAAGGAGTTCGTGCTCGTCGAGGAGGATGACCTTGCAGTGAAGAAGCTTTGGCCGCCGGTTGCCGGTTGGTCTCAGCCCTGGACACAACCAATCCACGACCATTCTACCTGTGCCACGTTATGGAAATGGTCTGCAAGTCTTGTTTCTCTCTCGTCTCGTCGCTGTTGCTTCTGACGCGATATCTCGTGATCATGCTACGTTTCATACTGTCGCCACATTTTCTGCAACAGACCACCAATACATCAAAACTTCATTCGTAGATTAGACAGATTTCCACGGTCAATTTCAAATTTTCACGGTCCAGTCACAATAAGCATCTTTCGATAAGACATTTCATTGAATATTTCTCTTATAAAAGTCACCCTTATCACAAAACTTCTCAAGTGATACTCAAAATTTTTTCCCACCTATTGATCGTAGTATGAAATTGAATCGTTATTATAACGTTATTATCCCACCAGACATCATCTAAGGAAGCTGTCTATCTCTAGTTTAAAATATAAGTTGGGTGTAATTTTCTGGAGTAATCTGTAGTTAGAATCTGCTGAATTCAGAATTATAACTGTAATAAAGAAAATAAATGTGCATTTGGAAAAAAAGCCTGAAATAAGATCCGAGGCAAGTTAGTTACTTGTGTGACTGGTGCATGTCTCTTAGCGAGAGCGCCACTTGATGAATAAAAGTTTTAAGCGGTTACTGCCTCTTGTGGACTTACTCGCTCCTCACTTAGCTCGTTTGCCCATACCGTTGGAATAGCGCGTACGTAAGTAAGCCGTACTGCATTTGTATTTTTTCTCATACCGCGCATCCTAAGATTATACGCATCGTCTGCTTTCTCTCTTTGCTTTACGCATTAGAGTTTCTCAAAGAGCTTATATCATTCGTTGTCGAGCCTCAGTTTTAATTGAATTTACCTAGTTAGTATATGAAGTTTTCAGTATTCACAGCTATCGAGTAAAGTTTGCTCATTTTGCCGAGCCGAGCTTTGCGTACATAGAATACGTGAAAGTTTATGCATACTAGCTTTTGAGTACTTATGAAAATTTTCTTCCGGTGCATTGTTTCCATTAGCACGGCCCACTCGTTCAATTTAATTTTTAAACGATAGCTCGTCCTAATAAGTCACCATAACAATTACAATCCACATATGTCTAGTCTATTTATCAATATTAATCAATTGGATTTTTTAAGACTTTACTCCAAAAATTTGCAATCTTTTGATGCACAGAAGCTAATTATCAAACGTTTACCCAAGTACATCAACTGTAACATTGATTCACGACGTATTTAAGCGCTTGCTCCTACCGTTCCATTTAAATGTTCAATAACGCAAGTTTTCGAAAGGAATTTAAAAATCTTCATTCCAAGTAAACATTGAGTATATTTTAGTAATTGATACGAAACCATAAAAGCAATGTGAAGGTGAAAAATCTTGCCGGAAACTAATAGACGTGAAATACTGCGAGATGTAACTTATACGGACGCTTATTCAAGCCGGTATCTTGCAGAAGGGAAGACCGAGAAAAGCAAAGAAAATCTAAGAAAATCACTTTTTTCCGCCAATGAACGCTTTACTACGGCATTCATCCGCTGCGCTCACACTGAAATCTAGACGTCGTTAAGTCAATCGTCCATTTTTTTATCCGTAATTATTATTATTGGTGTGAGCACGTTCAAGCAATAGTAGCAAAAGAACGAATGTCCTACCATTCATAATCATTTTTTGCCTTATGAGTAACTTTATCTCTTCCTCTCTTTCAGTTTCTAAACTTACAATAAAACTTTTAATACTTCATTTTTTCCTGAAATACATTTTCTTTAGTTTGTCTGTTATTTATATAATCATTCCTTCTTTTACATTAAATATTTTCACGAGCGGCTATTATGACATGGACGTCTTGGAATGATCTTATTATTGTTAGTGATGGTAAATTCACCAGTTTGACATATACAAGCAAAACGTTTTACATATTTGTAAAAATATACGATTGTAAGCACCATAGCTGTCAATTCTGCATAGATTTTGGCATAGATAGATATAAGAATCTCGACAATTCCACGTGTGTCTTGTACCGAAGCCCGGACGTACGACACTGTTACTTATTTTTTTAATTGCGACGCGTTACAAGCTTTTTAAAAGCAGCTTCGTTACTTGTAAAAACCTTACATTGGTATCTCGTTAAAGATGTCACAGCGAAAAGTAATGCGTTATTCGCCGGATTCCATTGAGCTCACGAGCACTCGTAATTATCGGTAGCTCTCGTGTCTCAATTACTTTAGAATTATCGAGATTCGGCGAGAAGTGGAAAGCTTTGTTGAGAGTTCTACAACTTCTGAATCAACAGCCGAACGTCGGACGCCGTGGTCGCACGCGTAAAACATTATTTCAACAACTGGAGGCTCCAATAAATTGAGCAGATTTAATGATTTGGTAGTTCTTAGTACGAATACGAGAGATTTTTTGCACGCGAATAAGATATCCCGTTGAAATAATGTGCGAAATTTTTGTTTTGTTCGAAAGTAATTTTAACGTTACTTTAACGCGTTGTACTCGTTAATGGCGTTGACTAACGACGTTACTAACTAACGCTGTTGCCCAGCAAAGCACAAGACTAGTCCGTTAGCTGATAGAATTTTTAAAGCGAGGCAAGCATGCTCACAGTAATTTGTTTGTCAACTGGCAAAAGAAATTATTTCTTTATGAATTATTTTCTTAAAAATAAATACAGTGCTTACGTGAATGTTGCTTACAGAACAATTCAACGTACAGCGATAATTGGAAATAAGTTAGAACCACTGAAAAGTTAAACGATAGTTATTTGACACGTCCGAGGAGTGTATTAACAAAAAGCTCGAGCAGCAGCATCGCGCAACGTTGAAAAAACAACGAATGTTTCGTGTAAGAAGCTGTTGAACTCAGCGCATATGCTTTAAAATCCATCATCGGGGCGTAACTGATGTTATGGAGAAGTTCATCAAAGCCGAGTAGGAGGGGGCGCTCGGTTCACGTGCCAAGCACATGAGCGCTCAAAAATAGTCGCACATCATAAAACGTATAGGTATACAGAGGGGCTATTCCGGGAATTTATAAGAAGTAAGCTCGGTTAGTTCGGCCGGCTGAAAGCGATGCCAGCGGCCTGAAATCGGAGCGCAGAGCGCCGAACAATGAGATGAAATTGAACGGGGAGAGTCCGCGGGAAAGATGGGAAAAAAGTAAGTCGCGCATCGGCGGCCGAGTGGGAGAATAGAAAAGAGTCGACTGGTTGGAGCGCGCGAGACTCGGCGAGGCGCGCCGCCGCGCGTAATTGATCCATTTGCAGGTTTAACGACGGCGACGGCCAGAGAAGCGCGAGTGCGTCTGCGTAGACTCGCGGCGCGCGCGACGCGTAGGTGTTTAGCTACGTGGCGCGAGCGAGCCGAGGCAGCTCGGCTCTGCATGCATCGACAAAGCGAGCTGGCGCGCTTCCGGTTCGCAGGCTCCTTTTTTGCGCTCTCGCGTGCGCGCGAGCGAACGCCTTCCACCTAACGAGTCATTGTCTCCGCGGCGAGCAGCGGCAGACGTGCCTACGCGCGGGGCACGGGAGCCGGCCTGATAACACTTCAATTTGGCTGCTCCCGCTAGCAGCCAGCGCCGGCCGGGCTTTCGACTGCGCGTGCGGTCGGCGGCTTTGGCCCGATCCGGCATTATGCGCGCGCCCGGTGAGCTTTGCACTTTGCAATTGCGCTAATACTCGACTCCCCCCCCCCCCCGAGCGCGCTCAGCTGCTTTTCGCAATCGACTTCCGAACGAGCGCGCTCTCGCCCACGCGTCGATCGTCCGGCGCGACCCTCTCGAACTGCTCGGGCTGTGGCGGCGCGCCGCAGCGACGCTCGCTGCTCCGTCGCCTAGCGTTCCGTGTCCCTGCTCCTTGAGAAAATCGGCGTGAGCGATCGATTAAACGTTCCGAGATTGGCAAACAGAAGCCAATGATCGATACGTCGTCGACATCGCCACGTTGGCGTTTGTTCCGCGGTGCGCACTACGAATTTTCGTCAGTGCTCCATTTTCTTGGCACTTGAGACGAAAACCAAAGCTTCCAATCAGCCGCGCTTCTCGAGTATTCTGGGAACCCGAGAAATTTCCTAGTAGTACGTTTCTTTATTTCTTTATTTACTTACTTCCACCGAAGACTACCTTGCTAGAACAATATATAATCACGAGTCTTGCTGTTCCGTTATACCGTGAGATTTTATTCACTGCGGATGCTTCAGGCGCCGGGTATAATACGCGGAACGTTCTTGGTATTTAAACTTGAGCCAAATCTGCCATAATCTGCTTGCAGGGGTAATTGAAACGTATCATCACGTATCGCGCGAGAAACTTGCTCTGCACTCCTCGTTTATACATTTCCAAGTTTTCGGGATGAAGCTAGTAGCCGCTCGCTCGGATCATATTTCACACAGGTTCTTATTAACGAACAACTATTTTCACCTGGACGTTTGACAGACGACAAGAAATTTGTGCCAATTGACAGACAGAAATAACGTACTCGATAGACTTTGAACGACTATTAGTTGAAATGAAATTTATGACGGAAAATGAAACAAGCCAGTAGGTACGCATACAAGGTCGCAATGGCAAACGAATATGTATCGTTACGTTTTCGAGATACGCAGAGCGTAACGATATTACGCGGCAAATCGATTTTGATGCAATAACATTATGTTGCCGAGTAAAAGTTAGGAGGGAAAACGAAAGCAGCTGCACGAAAGTAAGACGAAAAGATGAAAAGGCGAATTCGCGGACGATTGTTGCGCAGAGTCCGAGATTGTAAAAATCTGGTGATATGCATACCAAGCGATCGTAGCGAAGTGTAGTACAGAAAGGGGGAAGGATCAGCAGCAACAACAGCAGCAACAGCGTCGTCGTAGGCAGCCTTGGCAGCAGCAGTCGGAGATGAGGCCACTCGGCTCCGTGCCGAAAGATCAACTTTCACCGATAAAGGTGCAGCAACCTCGGCGAGGCGGCTCATCGTCGAGAGAGCGTGGCATCTGACAGAGGAGCCTGGCGCTGACTGCTGCTGGCGAGTGAGCACTGTGTGTCGGATGGGCGCGGGCGCGAGCGCGGTTTATCACCTCGCGGCGCGAGAGCGCGTGCAGCAATCGCGAATCGCGCGCTAAATGACGAATAAAAGGCGACGGCAAGTGCAAAAACGTACGGTTGCCGGCGCGAAGGACGCGAGTCTGCGCGCTGGTGCTCGCGAGCAAGAGAGAGTGAGCGAGAGAGAGAGAGAGAGAGAGAGAGGCAGCGCCGCGAGCAGGGCACTGGCCTGTCGGCGACGGCTTGGCTTGAACTGAGCGCGAGTCGCCGCTTCGCGTGCATTCGAAGGATTCGGAGAGCCGCCTGCCTCCGCGCCGGCTAGGCTCCCTACGCACTGCCAGACCTGACTCCCTCCACTTCTCTTTTCCTCTTTCGCTTCGGCTTTGCTTCTCGGCTGCAGCGCGCCGCCGCTCTCTTCATACCTTTACCCTGTGCCGTTCTTCCTACCTACGTATGTACGCGCGCGTCTCTACGCTTTGTACTTCTTTCGTTCGCGTTCTTTAGCCTGTTTCTTGCTTTGCTTTCGTCTGCCTTCTTGTCTCGCTATTTTACCCCCCACCCTCGCCTCTCCTTTCTTCGCGCTCGCACGCACACTCGCTCGTGAAATGCGTAACGAGTTTCAATTGCCTACCGCTGGTCCTTGGATCGTGATTTCCAGGCGCCATTTTGGTCCCGCTCTGTACGCCGATACTCGCGCAGCTACTTGCTAACCATCCTCCGAGCGAAACATATGTCCTATGCTTACACAAGTCTTTCTCCTCCACTTTTATTCATCCGGCTAAATGCAGTTACTTCGCTCTATTTGCTCTCACTGCTTTCGCTTAACTTCGATTTGATAGAAAACTGTTCTGCTTTCAAGACCGTTAACGCGCCGCAAGCTAGCACTAGATGCATTGTTAATCGAACACTAAAAAAATTATCTCTACTTTATATAAACTGTACTTTTCGAGACTAAAATCAATATTTACATCAGCGTCTTTACAATATATATCTTGGATTATGTGCATCCATCTGTTTTGTATCGTTGTTTCGAGATTGTACTTGTAATTTCACGCGCAATGAATCACAATGTTATGCAATCGAAGATTTCCAGATTACAATAAATTACTTCTTTTCCGCAAAGTTATTTTTTTTCCAACACTTTATGATTTATTAATAAAATGTTGATAAAAACTAGAGATAAAAAAGTTCTTATAAAGTAGTATCAATAACATAAAATATTCTTTCGAAAATCACGTTTTATAACAAATAAATCAATATCGAACTTTTTTATAAACTACGAATGTAAATAAATAAGAATTAAAAAGTTTTGTTACAATATATGAGATGTGTAGTAATGTTATTTTCAGTTGAAGTTATTTCCATTTCAAAGGAAGAAAACATATTCAGCTGACGAAAGAATATTTTATCAAATGACAAAAATAAGTCTAATAATTTTACTGGGTTTTTTAGTAAGTTTCGCGCAATTTTAATGGTAATAATTTGCAACTCGACTTCCTGGAAAGTAAAAAAGAATTTAAGAAAACTATAGGTAGGTAGAATGTATATCAGAAAATAGCAATTTATAAATTACATGACAAAAATATGGTTGACAATGAGTGACTGGTCAATAAAAAAATTCACGGTAGTTTTAACTCAATAACTGTTGTAATTCAACTTGTTTGTGTCAAAGCACTCTTTTAGTCAGGAAATAAATTATTTTTACGTTAGTTCCAACAGTATAGTAATGTTTTTGTGATGTTACATTGTAATGTACTGTAAATATTGACTAAAGTGTGTTACTTTACTTTTTAGAGTTCACTTTATTTCTCTTTTTAAAGAAAATATACATTTTATTAATCGACTTCTAAAACTAAGAATGTTTTTAGTCCTGTATAATTATGATCAATAATAAACAAAATAATATGCTTAAAGTTTTTTATTGATAATATATGTTGATTACTCGACAAATATTCAGTGATCTCAATAGTGATCCTATTAAGAAGTACATGGGTACATCACTCAACTATAGTAACTTTTCATAATCGTACGGGACAAGAATTTATTTTCCCGTCTGTTAGGTAATATACTATTCATTTATAAAATTAGGTAACTCCGCCAATAAATGAATGCCTCGAGTGACTGAATGGTCACGGAATTCATGTAATCGTCATAATCAAATTACATCTAGCCATTGTTGAAAAAGTGTAATTATTCAATTAAATGTATGTTTATCAAATCAAACCAGTTCTTGCATGCTGATTGCTTTTTTTTCTTTTTGAAAACTCACATACAAATTACGTACATTACAATTCTTGAAAAACTGATAAATAAATGGCATGATGCAGTTAGAAACTGTCGATATAGATTTATATAATATATGAGAGGAGTTTACATAATAGCATATTTAGCATGTGTATCGGTAATCTTCTTATATACAACTCTCGAAATAAAAATCTTGCCTTAATTATCATTTAATAACAATAAATGCTTCAATTTGTCAAGTTAAATATATAAATAAAGCTCGTGCATTCTAAAATGTACCATTCATTTACTGGTCAACCTATTTAAATAGTATTTAAATATTATTTTAATTTTTACAAAATAATTAACTATTTCTAATACGTAAATTATTTTTTTGTTAATAAAATAAATCCCAATGAATCTAATATAACATGAGATATGGATCATTTGAGAAAACCGTGTAACTATTGGCGTAACCGTTCATTCATTAGTGCATTTATCTATTGGGTTTCAAACAACAAATTTATTGAATATTTAAAAAATAGTGTTTTTAAATTTTTTTTCAAGAATGTCTGTATATATGTATATTAACGTGATATTTTATCTAAATATTCAATATCATTGATTGAATAATATTTGTTGAGCTATGTACGTGTGTTAATATTTGATTTACTATTACAGAGAATGATTTCGTGCTTTTATTTTATATTATTATTTATTATATATATATATATATATATAATTTTTGTTGTATTTATCTACATACATATTTTATTTAAATCATAATTTTATTTCAATAGAATGTAACTTTGCGCTACGTTGATGACGAAATTAGCATAAATGATTAATTTATCATACAATTTCAGTTTTATTGATAAAATTTCGTTTATACGTAATTATTATACGTAATTTTGTGTTTGTGTTATATTGATTATGCACAGTTCAAGAATTAGTATTAGTCGTTTACAACATTTTCAAACAGTTTTTTTTACGTCTACAGATCTATTATTTGTTCCTTAATTTATTAAATTATAAATAATTCTTTTTTGTCTGTAAATATTCTATATCGTGACGATGATATACAAAATATACTTACGAATGATAAAACAGAAATCTGTGATCGTCATAATAAAGTCTAATCTACTATGCCAACAATTAGTAACAAAAGTATCTTATCGTAGTTTACCATTAATTTGACCAATAAAACTACAAATTTCATTTTTACGAGCTTAATTTAGATATACATTTTATTAGATTAGTAGTAGAATGTTTGCAACCGATTACGTTTATATGACGTATACGTATTTAATTCTAGGATTATTCTAGTGACAATTGTCAGCTGATGAATCCCCTAGATCCCATAGCTGTTTTCCTTGGGAGACTTTCAGTTCACACTGTTCACAGTGCTGCTGTGTGTTTGCAGATTATCTTCCTACGTGCTATTTTGTGTACATTGTAGCCGCGGTTCTGGTGGTTGAAAATGAGCGACAAGTTGTTTCTAGATTTGAATTGTATTAATCGTCTAGAGTCACTTAAAAAATAAGTACAATCTGTCACCCGGATAGTGTTGACGTGTGAAATGGCGTGGCTCGGTGAAGGACTGTCGAGCCTCTCAAATTTGAAGGGGCAAATTACAAATTTCACAAAAGAAGTATTATCCGATGGCATCGTAGCTGAAATCGGTAATTAATTATTAAGCAAAAACTAACGACAAACTAGTTCAATCACGTGTGCAGGATTGTCAGGTTACTGACCACTGTCAAAACATTGATCTGTTTTATCAGTCGAAGTATACAATAATCAAATATCAAATCGCGGGAACACGAATTAATTTTCTTTTCTATAATTAAATTATATTTATTTTCTACATTTCAATTTCAATAAATTAATTTAAACAAATTCTCGAAATTGATAACTGTATTTATACAAATGTATAGTTTACATATGAAACCAAACAAAACGTAAACCAAAAGAACTATGTTTAATGCACAATGTTTGATTAGAAATTTGATTTTACATTTTGTGCTTTTAGATGAACGTTCAAAAGATCTCGAGGAAGCTAACGAAAGGTGTAACCAATTACAAGAAATACTAAATTCTAAAGAAGCTGAAGTAAGTTGTTATAAAATTTATTGAAACATTTTTAAAAATTCAATTGTTAATGTTAACAATGTAAAAATAAATTTTCATTAATATGAAACTATATCTACCCTTCTACATTTATGATAGGCCCTCCACACTCTGTTTACTTATCAAGTTGAAGATAACGATTTTTTTCCTTGATAATCACAATGTTTTAACAGATGTTCATTTGCTTTAATAACCATTGCTAAGTGCATTGCAAACAAGAAGCTTTTATATGAATTTATTAAATATCTCTTCTGTTTTATATGTATGCTTTTGACTAATGCTGTTAATGTTGGTTTAAACAACAAGAATAATAATTCACAAAATAAAATAGTTATATAAGTTTGAAAATAGTAATTACGTAGAAGAATTTCAGATTTCAAATTATAACATGGCAAACTAAATCTTATTTATCTCTATGTTAGTGCTTTCTTTGATAAATTAAAATATCACGACAATAAGACTTTTGATCTAAGAAAAGTTGTAGAAGTTAGATTCAAAGCGCCACAGTGAAAAAAATGTTGTATTGTAATGGCGAATGTAATGTGAATGTAAGCAATGGGAACTTTCCATTTAAGTTTTTTTTCGAGAAATATTTAACTATTTTTTGTTTTTGTTAATATAGTTAATTTGAAAAATATGATCTTAAAAACACGCATAAACGAAAATTATTGATAATTTGAATTTGCGTAACACGGACGAGCTAGCTCTGTTATCGTGCACCTTTTTCGTGCTATCGCATGCTTGGATGCGCAAGCGTAGTACGAGGGGATGGTGAGACAAGACTAGTTTTTTGAAAGTGGTTGTTCCGCTTTTCAATAGATAACAATATCAATTAGCTTCCTGTGGCTGCGCAGTACCTTAATAGCAATATCGACTTGTTTATTCTCGATACATTTATTTGTTATGACATGGATAAAAAATTGGTCTTCCATTTATTTTCTTTTTTTCATTATTAAAACCATTAACACCTTTTATTTGATGGTATTAAATTCCCAACTCATGACTCAACAGATGTAACGTCTTTTCAGCATGACTAATTTTATAAAAGTTAATTTTTTTGTAATGTTAAAATTGGAGTAACCAATAAAGCATTATAATTTGTCACTTAAATATGAAATGAACTATTATACGAAAAAGGTCATAAGAAACATTAAAACTAAGTTTTTAAAGTTTCAAAGCAAGTAATATCGTCTTACAATGTTTAGTGGCTAAAAGTTCTTTCGATTGATATTTTGATTGTGATTATCAGACAATCACGAAAAGTAGTTTTGTTCACAAAAATAAAAATAAGACAAGGTTCTGGGAAAATATAGTATATGACAGCGCCTGGTCATAATGTAACGTAACGTATCAACTGATGAATTGATTGGTCTGTATGAGAACAAGTATGGCAGTATGATTTAAAGAAGTTTTATTATTCGTCAGCAAAAAAAAAATTTTTAGATTAAAATCGCAGCCTTAAACCAACAAAAGCCCACAGCGGCGGCGGTGGTGGCGGCGGTAGTGACAGCAGCAGCAGCAGCAGCAGGCTTTTAAAAGGTAGAGGGTCTCGGGCGTTCTCCAGCTTGAAGTCGGGGTAGACTTTACGTGGTATATGCTTATCGGAGAGCAAACTCCGATAAGACTGGCAAATAGCCTGAGCGCGTCTCTTTCTCGCTCGCTATGGCATCTCCGCGGTCCTATATTTTTTTGTATAACACATCGTGGCACCGGACTTCCTCCCGCAGAGGAACAGAGCAAGAGACAAGTCAAAAAATGGTATCGCCCGAGTTCCTTTAACTTTTGCCCCAAATCGCATTTTTTCAATTCGAAAACACACCTAGTAGTTTTATTATTGCAGAGTGCAGTGGCCTTTTCTAAATCTTGAAAATGATATCTGAGAGTGTGTGTGTGCGTGTGTGCACACACATATGCAGTACTATAAAATTTTTATTTTAAATTGATTACTTTTATCGATAATATTGTTGTCATTTCGTCGATGTTAATGACTTGTCATTGATTCTAGATATCAATATTAAGAAAGCAAAACACCGAGCTGCAGAAGGCAGTAGTGGAGTTTCGCGCGAATACCAGCCATGCCGTGAGTATATATATGAAATACAAATTTCATTACGTTAGGCTGATGCCGATGATATTTCGTAGAAAGCTTATAAATTTTCGTAGCATTATAATATGACGCTTTTCAAGTAAACTTGATCAGTAATGGGCAATTCATTGCTGACAATGCACCGTTATCACAATTAAGTATTGGCTTAGCGCGTGAGCAGACTAACATCTAACTTACTTTTTATGCGGGTAGTAGCTGATATCTCTTCGCGAACGCGTCGAAAAGACCTCCGCGTTGAAGCTCGTACCTTCTGTTTAATTTCAATTTCACAATTTCGGCGGGGTCTCTTTTTTGGCTCATACACGTTGAAGAGTTCACGAAGAGCGATGTTTTTTTTATCTGCATTCGATCGAACAAGTTTTCACAAACAATAATAATAATAATAATAATAATAATAATAATAATAATAATACACGGATCGGATACGTTAGTTCACGTTTTCTTCGGCACTCTGTGATACCGAGTATTGGCAACGTATAAAAACATGATCCATAAAAATAAGCTATAGACGTTGGTCGAGTAAAAGCCGAAAAGCATTGCATAGAAATTTGGTGAATAGAACTAGAAATGGAGGAAATGAGTCGAAACAGAGGCGAAAGAGAAACTTTGGGAAAGAAGGTGAAAATGGAAGTCGTAGTTAAAAGGAAAAAATGTAAAAGAAGGCTCTGGCGAAGAGGAGGATGAAAAAGCGAGACGTTGGGTCTGAGGCACTCGGGCGCTCGTATCTCGGGGCCCGCAGCAAACAAAGGATCGGCCCTTGGTTGAGTGAAGCGCTCGGCGACCGCGATGCGTGTATATTCGGCAGAGGCAAGCAGCCCGCTTTCTCGATACGAGCCTCTCTTGGAAAAAGACAAGAGCAGAGACACGCGATGGGCCGACATATCTTCCACGACACACGATCCTTGCGCCAAGTCAACTCAGTAAGGGCGACGCCCGCCAACTTACCTACGTCTCTCTGTGTATTCGTTCGCACGTGGCGCATGCATTATTAATGGATGAATTAGCCACGCTGAAATTCCCGAATTTCTTTCCCCGACTAGGCATGTTTTATTTATTTTCCCGAGCTACTCCGAGTTAAACTTTATGCGCGAGTCAATGCGCCTTGATCTTTTATAAGAGGCACCGATCAATAGTCATTTACATAGGGTTGATTTATCGCTCGTCCGGCTCATTAATCGAGGTCAGCTTTGAAGAGTTGTCCCGTTTTCTCGAACAACCTGAAAAATGAGGCGTTTCACCACTTTTCTATGGAACAATGCCGAAAAACGCTTCGAATTTTTCAACAGCTCAGCGAGCAGGTGCACAGAACCTTGTTTGATAGACCAATTGCTAGCTCTCTCAAGCTTTACCCTGATAGTGCCCGTGACTACGCGAAAGCTGATAACAGCGCAAGTATCAAGCTCAGATATGACCTGGTCAAATCCGTTATATTATCTGCAGCAATACGCGACATAACGGTTTTTTTTTTCATTTTGCCTGGATAGCCTCAAAGGAGATTGTAACGTGACAATTTACTTTGTTATAAGAAGGACGTTACGGTTTGTCACAATATCAACCACACATTTAACTACTTGAAAAATAAAGAGTTTCAGTAGCGTTCCAAATAAACTAATTACCGTTCAGCTAAAATGCGCCGTTTTTCTTTTTGTTGTGCACTATTTTTATAAGTGGACGGTCATTATAGTGTGCAATCACTCAAAAGTTGTTAATTTATCACTGTTCAAGGTTCACGTAATATGTATGACGCCATTACCTTCGTCGTTATCATGAACATCGAATAGACTTAACTCAAACTCATGCTTTCTTAAAATATCCATTTGAACTGGAAGCTTGAAAGGACAACGTTTGGCAATTGATTGTCTTCGAATTTGGTTGCTTGAACGCTTGAACGCTCGAATGTTGTCGATCGTCGAAATTATTGCAGATGTTTCCATTTTTTTTTCTGATAAGCTGTTTAATCGATAAATGTGTTTTGTGTGCAACTAGCGGGCTCACTAAACTTTTCGGCATTCTTAGTAATTCTTTACTTGTAAAAAGAAGAACAAAATGTCGGTCGTGCAGGCTAAATATTTCTTTGAGGGGAAATAGCGAATTAGCATTTAGCCCGTGCGTGACTGCGACAGGATGCTTCTTTTAAAGTAAATGTTTCCTTCACCTGCCCACCCGCAGAACTCGGTCTAGAGCTCATATGCTACATTATAACTAATTGAAGAAAATAATTGAACTAGAAGAGAAAATGGAATGTATCCAAAAAAAGGAAAGAGCAGGTCTGGCTGGGCTCTATACAGCAGGTAAAAATGACGGCATGAATGTTCTGCTCTGATGAGGTGCAAAAGGTGAATAGTTAAGTGATAAGAATACCAAGGCAACACGTGAAGTATCAAACAAATGAGCAAAGTAAAATATAAATAAAATATAGCAGTCGCGTACGGAACGGTGACTGTCGATAAGGACGTAGTGTAGGAGAAGCCCGCGGGGTGTCGATGATATACACAAGCGTGAAAAAAAGCGAGAGAGAGAGATAAGGAAGGAAAGAGCTAAAAAGGAAGAGATGCGTGTGCGTCGACGTTCGTGAGAACTGTCGCTCGCTGCTTGCGTTAGAGTCGCGGCTAAGCGCAGGTCAAAGTGGAGGGGTGAAAAAGAGGAGCGCGAGCCGAAGCCAGCTAGCTCTCTGTGGCGATAATCGCGTCATCGGTCGCGGCGTTCATATGCCTACCTGCAGCAGCGCTACGCTGGAGGTTAGCCGCCGGCAGCGCAGTCGTCGCTGAGCGCTCGCGCGCGAACCCACGCTTTTCCACGAGGCAACGCGTTCCGATCGCCGACCGAGCGAGTCAGGTCCAGGGCTAAGCCGTCACCACGGACACGTGCCCTCTCGTGCCCACGCTTCGCCGACCAAGTAAGATCCTCTCTTCTCATTTTCCTCTTTGGCTCGTCAACTTGAAGACTATTGTCCGAGCAGCCGGCGCCGGATCTCTTTTTATCGAATTTCAATTTTGCGTGGCCTCTAAGGACTGGACTCTCTCGCGCAATCGATTCGCCATCCGAATAATATTGCGCTTGCTCCGATTCATTGATTATTTATTCTACGCTTATGTTCCATTGGACTCTCGATTCGCGACGCGACCGCCAAAACAAAAGGATGTATAGGCGGATTTGGATTTGGAAGGTAGAAGAAAGAGCGATCCGAGCGAGCGACGACGAGTCCAGTCGATTACCATAGTGCCGATAGTGTTGCAACGCCAGTTTACACAACGAGGCACTACGCGACGAGAGGAGTTGTCCTTCTTGCAGCAGCAACTCGCGCGCGAACGGACGCGCTGCCGATTTTCGTTGACTCTGGTTTGGCGCGCGCGCGCGCGCACGCGTTCCAAGAGACGCAATCTTTGCACATCGGTGTCGGCCAACTTGCGGTTATCGCCGTTATTTGCGCGCACGCACACTCTCCGTTCGGCCGATATCGCGTACTATCTCGCGATTCCATTCCGCGATAACGCGCGCGCACTTTCGGCGAAGCCATCTTGTCTTTCCGGCGCAAGCTCGCGCTCGCGGATCCGGCAAATCGGAAATATCCGTGTCGCGGTGAAAAAGGAGCAGCGCGTATCGGCCGAGCAATAAGCGATATCGTGGTTTCCTTGTAGAGGCGAGCAGTCGAGCGGCACGTCACTCTGCAGCCACGATAAAACACACTCACACGCGTGCGAGAGTCGGTACCGAGGTCTTATCTTCTGTCGTATAATACGCTGCATAATACGAGAGCCCACTGCTCGAGTGCGCTCGCCGTATCGTCGACAGTCGAGTCGAACGTGCGCGCGTCGTTACGCTGCCGCCGCCGTCGCCAAATTGCAAAATGGAAAATCAATTTGGAATGCAATTTTCACGAAAACAAAATTAAAAAACAAAGACTAATCGTAGCTTGCGAACTAACGGCTGGGGCCAAGCGAAACGCGCTGTGCGTTTCAATGCTGAATGCAAATGATGGCGCGTGCGACGCAACTATAGAACAGCCTTTATTATAAGCTCGCGAAAAATTTGACTTGTAAAGTTCGACGATGCGAGAGCAGGAAAAAAGTTGCGCCGTGTCAGGCTGACCAAGTGGCCGTCAACCCTCCCAAAACATTCGTCATCTTTTTCCAGCGATTCCGCAAAAAGAAGTTATGTCACGTCGCAGGCAACGAGTGCCCGTGTGTCTTTCGGTCGCTCAAGTTAGCTCTATGCGATCGTAGACATATCATCGAGCGTGATGTAATAGGCAAATAAAGCGGAGAAACTCGATCGCGCCGGCGTCGACGCAGCCGCGTTGCCATTTTAACGCCTCGGCGTGTTTGCACTCGCACGCCGATCGAGCATCGATCGACGCCCCTGCTCGAGTTTGGACGCTCCGTTCGGTGCGCGCGACACGTCGACGTGCGCGCAGCCTGTCCCGCCGGTTCGATTGTTCGAGCGCGCAATCGCGTATCGGAAATTCGGCGAGCATTTTGAGCCGAGCGTCGGTTATTAAATGCCAATCACGGTGGTTGCGCTCGTTTGGCAACGCGTGTATCTGGCAAAATGCATTTCCTGCCCATGTAGGACTCGCTTGCGCGACGGTGTCCTCGTCCGCGTCAGTGGTCGAGCGGCAACGGGTCAAACGTACGCGTACGCGGGCTTTTTCGTCTCTGTGCACAGAGGCGAGTGGGCGACGTAGTTGTGAGACGATAAAATTACAGTTGCAGATCGCGTCGAGGAGTGATTACGGCTTTCTTCGCGAGGCATTCGCGATGTGTCACGATTCGACGCGTTTTCATATAAACTCTGCATCGACGATTGCTTTGCCCCTCCGATCCGCTCTGAGAGTAAGCTCTGAATATGCAATGCCTTCTCGAGGAACTTTTGTAGGACGGCTACTTTGGTTCTTTTATTTTTTCTTTCACGAGAACTTGAAGCGCGCATCAACAATGATTATATTAGCCGGTTGACAGGACTCGAGGCACTCG